GTGTGTGTGTGTGTGTGTGTGTGTGTGTGTGTGTGTGGCTTGACACAGGCCCAGGTCTGCCTAGGCCTGCACTGAAACTGCAGCCCCTGGGTCTGGGTTTGACAGCCCCCAGGGGGGTGGGCACTATCTTGTAATCAGGGAGAAACCCCAAAGTGGCCCTTCCCCCTACAGTGGGAAAGCCAGCAGGGCCCCGGGCACCGCTCAGCGCACACCTCCCGCCTGCCCTCCAGAGCCACGGTCTCCCTGCAGGCCACGGAAGGAGGAAGCAGGGTGGGACGACCATGAGCCTTGAAGGGTGCGTGTGGCCCCAGGCTCCCTAAGTGACCCAGAAGGTACCGTGCTCCTCCAGCAGGCTGATGGAGCGATTGGTGAGGGAATCGGCATCTCGCACCAGCTTGTAGCCGAAGAGGTGCATGGCAGGGCCGCAGGCGGACTGCACCACCTGGGCCAGCTTGAAGGGCATGCTGAAGCGCCACTTGTCAAACTGCTCGGAGGAGTTCTTCTGCGTGGAGTAGACGCCGCTGCCGTCCTGGGCCGCCTGCGTGTTCGTCTGGATCCAGTCCTCCACCTGCGCGGTCCAGGGAATGCCCGCGAAGCGGTACATCTCGCGCGCCTTCTGCAGGGGCCAGCGCGCCACGTCCTCATAGCGCACCAGCAGGTAGCGGCCCCGCAGCCAGGTGGGCTGCCGCAGGCCCAGCTCGGCCGACAGGCGGATGCTCTCGCAGTTGCCCCGGAGCCGCTGCACCTCCTCCTCCCGCAGCCGGTCCTGGCCCTCGGCCAGCCACTTCTTCCAGGTCGCGTACTTGCCGGCGAAGGCCACCATGCGGGAGGCCAGCACGGCCCGGGGGTCTCGCACCAGCTGGATGATGCGCAGGTCCAGCCGGGGGTCCTCGGCCAGCGGCTGCAGGGAGTCCAGCTGCCGGATGCGCACGGCCTTGAGGGCCACGTGCTCCTTGCGGCGGCAGGCCTGGGCGGCCAGGGTCACGTTGAGGGGGCCGCAGCGGCGCTCCTTGCAGTGGTACTTCTCGAAGACCCTCTTGACGAAGGGCGTGCACACGGGCTCCTCGCAGAGGGCGCGGCTGGAGCCCCGGCGGAACAGGGCGGGCGTCAGGTGCTGCTCGGGGCCCGGCCGGATGAAGTGCTCCAGGCTGTACAGGTCGCACAGTAGGAGCCGCTGAAGCACATCGCGGGAGACCAGGGCCCAGTGGGCCGCGCTGGGGGCCCCGGGCTCGAAGGTCACCGTCCGCTCCACGTGCCACAGCGGTTCAAAGAGGTAGAAGACGTTGCCCTGCTGGTTGAAGAATTCGCCCACGAAGGAGGAGCCCGTGCGCGTGGAGGCCATGAGCAGCACGTGGCGCCGGGCCCGGGCCGAACCCCCCCACGGCGCGCTCTCCGCGGCGGGCTCCACGCCCAGCTGCAGGCTCAGGTTGTGTAAGCGCCTCTGCAGTCGGGAGAAGGCGGACTCCAGCTCGCTCAGGGACAAAAGGGACGCGTTCTCGGCCAAGACCAAGGCTGGGTCGGTGCCGTTGGCATCAGCCAGAGCCTGGGGGATCTGCTTCAGCTTCTCCGACACCCTGTGGGGAGGAAGATAGAGTGACTGCGGGCCTGGATGTCCGGCCAGCCCGGGAGGGCCAGCCCAGGAGAGGCAGGGCCACAAGCGGAGGTGGACTCAACTCAAGGGAGTTCCACTCGCAAGGGCTGCTGCTGGTAGCAGCTTCCTCAACGGATCACCCTCCACCTGGCTGAATCGAGGTTCTCCAGACGCTGGCTTGTAGGCAGGGATTTGACTCAGTGGTTTATTGGGGACAAGATCCCAGAAGAACTCCAGAGGAGAAGGGGAGCAAGACCGGGGATGGAGAGCCGGCCATCAGGGGTATGACGGTGTGGTTCAGGCTGTGGGCTCATTCCTACTGGGGAACAGGACCCATCTCAGGATCGGGTCCCCACTGGCCTGCAGAGCATTCTTCCCTGAGGTACCAGCTCTGGGCCCTGCTGGCTGGTGGAGAGGGAGGCTCTAGGCGGAGCCTACAGTAAACCCCTGACTGTGTGAACAGATCAGTTCAAGCTGAGGAGCTTCAGCCCACCCAGCCTCTTGCCTTCCCATCTCAGGATCCTTCCTGTGTCCGACAGGCCTCCCAGCAGGGCCATCGGCCACAAGGGTACCTTGCCAACCCTAGGGAGCGTCTCTCCCAGTGCAGCCGAGGAGAGCTGCCCTCTGGGCAACTGCACCTGGCAGCCCTCTCCACCAGAGTACCCACACCAGGCCCTGCCTTCCTCGGGCTCATTCTCACCTGTGACAATCGAGACTGGTAAGGGGCTGCTGTTCACGTGGGGTGTGATTCTAGGCCAGAAAAGAAACTGAGTCCTACTCATCGGAGGGAGATGGAACTGCATGCCAACCCCATGTCAGGCAGGGAGCTAAATGTTTCACATTTCACGGAGCCCTTGCAGCTCGCAGGCATCGTTAGCACCAACTTCCTCCAGGTGAAGTCACACACCTAGCTAGACCTGATGGCTGGGAGTGCCAGACTCAGCCTTTGACCCCAGGGTGTCTGAGTGCAGAGCCCAAGTTCCTACCGCCCTCTCTTCATAAGGACAACAGATGACCCACTGACAGGGACACAAACAATAAGGGGAGGTGTTCAGTCATTCCTGGGGGAGTGAGGGGATATGCAGGTCTGCAGGGAGCTTCTCTCTCTCTCTGCCCCACTCACCCTACCTTGATAAGGAAGGCGGGCTCTTGCCTCTCTCACCTGGAAATGATTTTGTTTTCCTTCTCGATGAAGACACAAACCACCACCACGAAAACCAGGAACAGGGCATATCTGCCCCTCATCCTCAGGCCGTGCAGAAAGTCCCGGCAGTCCTGGGGCAGAGGCAGTCCCTTATCCATGGGGAGAGGAGGGCAGCAGGCTTCTCAGCCAGTCCCGGGACTCGGCTCTGGGGAGTCCCTCATGAACTGGCTCATCGACTTCAGAGGGCGGGCATCCTTGCCTGTGGAGAGATGGGCAGTCAGGACACCCTCTGTGGACAGGGAAGATGCTTCCTCGTGAGTCTTGAATGGATCAAGGCCAGCTCAGCAGGCAGAACATCAGATCCCCCCCATGCTGCAGAGACCCATCATCAGCCATCAAAGATGCTCCCAGGCTCTTGGGTTCAGCCATGCCACTTCCAGGAAATTATCCCACCGACACACTGGCTCACAGGCTGCAGACCCTACATGGAAAGGAATGTTTCTGGGCACATACAGGCTTGCAACAGCCCAGACTGAGAACACCCCAATAGGACGAGGGAGCATCTGAG